TGTACTATTTTTTTGGAAGAAATTATTTAAGACCCAGCTTTATAATTTATATAAAAAATATTTACCATCATCGTCATCATCATGACTTTTGTAATCGTAGATGGGTCTAAATGCAGAAGCCATATTGAATCTCCTCAACAACAGTCTCCAACGGCAGCCATCAGCAATTCTGGTATAGTCATACCTGTCTATTGTTTGACATTGTCCAAACAGTTTCTGCGTTGGCGTCCTCTCCTACGTCCACCTTCAAAGGTGTATTGCATGATGGTTTTACACAGGCTGTCGTGCTTTGTAACGTGTTCAAACCACGCCATTTTTCTCCGTTTGACTGTAGATGAAGATGTTCCTGGTGACCCATAAAACTTTCAACCCTTTTCCGTACAAACACATTGGATTTATGTTCCCGGTAGAGATGCTAAGGAGTTTTCTCATGCATTTGTTCTCAAATACTTGGGTCCTTCTCTCTGTTACTGCCAACGGTGTCCATATTTATCATACAAACGGCAATACATACAGTAGCTGTTTTGTTTTAAGCCCAAGAAATTTACGATAGCTTATCAACTGTGTATTTTCTCTGTTACTCTTCTCTGAAAAGATTTTAGTATGTCAGTTACAAGATGGCGGAGAGAGAATAAAATGAAGTAATATTTGGCGTTTGAAAAAGCCATTTCGACTGGAATTAAAACTAAGTTTCGTTTACGAAATTTATTTTATTTGCGCTAACTAGTTTTACTTCCATCACAATTTAAACTGTAGATTGACACGTGAAAAAGAGGACCGCATTTTAAATGTTTAAATGTGTTGTTTTGAATGCAGAATTATCTTTCTCCTAGATTGATTACCAAACAAAGATGGAGGGCACAGTCTACCCTGCCATTAATACCATCTGTGGAAGAAAATAAATTTGCTTATGTGAAAAGGAAAACAACGGACACATCATTCCAGTCCATCTACCCGTGCTAAGAGTTATTTGAGTCTGTTCACATCTGTGTATATATCCATCCATCCATCTATCTACATATATATCTATACATCGATCTATCCACAGATCTATCTACATATCTATCTATACATCTACATATCTATCTATAAGTCCGTCTATCTATACATACATACATAGATCTACATATCTATCTACGCATCTGTTTACATATCTATCTATCTATCTATCTATCTATCTATCTATCTATCTATGTACGCATCTATCTATCTATCTATCTATCTATCTATCTATCTATCTATCTATCTATCTATCTATCTATCTATGTACGCATCTGTTTACATATCTATCTATCTATCTATCTATCTATCTATCTATCTATCTATCTATCTATCTACGCATCTGTTTACATATCTATCTATCTATCTATCTATCTATCTATCTATCTATCTATCTATCTATCTATCAGCAGCTGCGTGTGAACGTACTCGAATATTAGATATAAAATTAAAAATGTATAAAACCCTGATTTTGTTCGTTAATATTGCTCCATGCATGCGCACATATTTTACTGGGCGCGTATGTGTGCGTGTGTGTCTCACTGTGCTCATTGGGGCGTGTAAATATTTAATAAATATCCACTCGACTGGCAAAAGCGCTTTCCTCGTCAAGTCCTATCACTATTTTGCTTTCCTCGCCTTATCTGTATCTGAAAGCGGGATTATAATCTAAGAAATAATTACAGTAGCCAAGTCGTTCATTTGCTGGGAGCGTTAGCCGTTCTCCCCAGGCCGCAACAACAACTATTAACATGTGTGTTATATCGATCCGTCATCTAATTATCATTTTCTTTCGACCATTGGGGACTTGCCGATTGAGAGTGAGTGTAGTCAGTTTGGTTCTGATGCGCATTTTATTTCTATGACCGCTCATTTCATTGGACGAGAGTTTGAAGACAGCTTACCTTTTATGATTGACGTGCATTATTTCTAATTATTTTTCCCAAGCAAGACAATGAAGCCACTAAGACGTAAGGGGTTACTGATTGTCAGAGAATATGAGAAAAAAAAAAGAGAAAAAAAAACAGGTATTAAGAAAACAAGAGATAACGATTGATATTGCATTTACATTTTTAAAGGTCAACGTTGACAGAAAAGCAAGAAGCTAGAAGAGAGTTCCACAAGCGGTAATTGCGATAGAAGAACCTATTAGCATAGGACTTACGGTTACATCTAGCCATTTCATCTGTAAAATGATGATGCCTTGTTGCCAATACGTGAAGTCGTACAGTCTAGGTACCAAAGAGGAAATCAATATTTATTTTGAAAATACAAAATGTAGCACAAGGTAAAGAGTGCGGATAGAGAAAGGTTGTTCTTCAATCGGTCTTATCTCAAACTTAGCTAGCAACAATTACAAATCCAAACATAGAACGGTATTAATTACACCAAAACACATTCTTACTTACCATTCTTATTACAGCCATCATAATACCTCAAAGTCTCTATGAAGTCCTAACTAGTTCCCATATATACAATTTGTATGTGGAGGAATAAAAATAACTTACCAAAGATGAAAGCTGATCAGAACGAAAATGAAAATATTTATAGAAAAGGCACAGGGAAGCTACGCTACAGCGGTTGGAGAGTAACCGAAGCCGAGATGCCAGGTCAGGACCTGTAATATTTCAGATTCTTTGTATTTTATCAAGAATCTATAAATAAATAGCAGAAGCGCCGGGCCAAATGATGTGACGGCAACAATAATAATCTATATGGCGTTATAAGTAGAAATAAATTACAGAAGCGAGCATGTGTGAAAAAAAAATATTTACTCACAATAGCCAATGTTTTTCTTTGTATCCATGTCTTTCTTTAATATCATGTAAAAGATTACGAATTTGACTCATTAGCATTAATTTTCATGTATGTTGTATTCATCTTACGAGCAAGATCCTGGTTATTTAACATAGAAACTTTGAAGAAATAACTTTCCATGAGAATTCCCACAACTTAGCACAAAATCATTATTACTAGACTACATAAGGTTTGATTCTTGCAGCCAGGACATCTCTAAATCTAATACACTGTTTTTATTTAGACCTTGTCGATATGGTCGAGAAGGGCGCCATGTGGTCTGTGTAGCGCACGGCCTCAATATACCATCAACCAGGCGTCCTCCCTGCAGAAATCACTCCAGTGTCACTACCAAAGGACTGGAGGGCGCTATCCTTTATCTTGCGATATAAACGGATAGTTATTATGGGATTTTATTATACAAGACGATATTTGCACAATTGGATATTAACCAACCGATCTTAATGAAACTTTCAAAATACATTAATACTTATTTAGGGAGTATTATCTGTTATTTTCAGCTCAATATATATATATATATATATATATATATATATATATATATATATATATATAGTCGTCCACAAGCAGACTCTTTTCGCTGTATCAAAGCTCCTCGATTGCGATTGAAATCGGATCTCTTACCTCTAGACCAAATGGTGACATCCATCGCTAGATAGATAATATATGCATTAAAATACTGTTAATCCATAGTGCGAGTTGATCCTCGTCGATAAACTTGATGTCTGTAGTTTTCCGTTTATTTGATGTTAAAATGGATTAACAGTATTTTAATGCATATATTATGATTCTAGCGATGGATATCGCCAATAATCGCATTAATACTTCTGATTGATTCTATGTGTGATTATTTCTTTGTATGTAAATTATATGCTACCTAATGTTTTATATATATATATATATATATATATATATATATATTATAAATTAATTGATTTAAAATATGTTTTTTTTTTTGCTACATAGTTCCAACCATGTTTCAAAATAGAAGCTAAAACCCCGAATTTAATTTTTGCAATTAAATTAAAAGCATTAGTTCCATTTCATCTTCAAGCGATATATATATATATATATATATATATATATATATATATATATATATAGATATAGATAGATAATATTAGTGGAAAATATTCATACATATGCAAGATATATAAATACCCATACATGTATATTTTTAGAAAAATCCAGGTAGAACTCAATGTCTAGGACAGAGTAAGGATATAATAAAAAGGCTTACACACTAATATTCCATGGTCATAATTTATTCCATTGGAATCGTAAATACGGTTCAATTCATCAGACCTACAAATTCAAAAAGAAAACAGAAAAAACCCAACTCCGGAAATAAAAACAGAATTTAGAGAAAGTGTAAGTATGAGGAGGAGGAGAATTGAGCCTTAATAGAGAGGATTTTAGGAGAGGTGGGTGGAAGGGGTTTAAATAAGAGAAAAGAATGAATGTTGACGGATGTCTAATGCATAAGGATACATTTCGTGGTGACATACACACACCATAGACAATTTAATGTTAGAATAAGAGGGAGGGAAAGACGAGGTGGGGGAGAGAGATGGGATGAAGGAAAGTAAAATTGCGTTTACTTAAAGGGCCACTTTGTAATTGAGAAAATTTGACAAATTTAATATCGACTACAGGTTACAAATCAAATATAAATATATGAAGATAAATATAACGGTTATCTAATCCGGCAAGGACCTATATTTCTATGTTCAAAAACACATGCGAATACACACAATAACATATACATGTATATACATACACATAGGCGTGTACCCACATACACACATACATACACTCATGTACCAGTATACACATATCAAAATATAAAAATATCCACATATCCACACATACACATATTCATCTATATTTATATACACACACTTTTCACATACATATACACGCATACACATGCACACATGCTCATACCCATATATACATATATATATATACATCTTATTATATTATATTATATATATATATATATATATATATATATATATATATATATATATATATATAATCTGAATTTAAGTATTTCTGTACATCTCGGACGATATTTAAAAATAAATTCTATGAATCTAATTTTTGTTGTTGTTACTTAATCCCACCTTGAAGCGAATGCAATGTTGATTTTCTAAGGAAAGTAAAAACTCAACCTGCTCTACGGCCAAATCGCATTGAAACAGCGGTTCCCGTGAGATCACTCAAGTTAAGCAACGTCAAGCTCGGTCAGTACCTCGGTGTGAGACAGCTTGAGAATACCAGTTGCTGTAATCTTAGAGGTGCAGTTCTTATAATGTTTAATGGCGCGGAATTTTTAGTCTGAGAATAGAGTTCTATTCTCAGTTGGGTTCGTTATATTCTGTTATGCACAAATACCACCTGTTCTCGCCCAGCTACTTATTAATTAGTAATACTTGTATCAGTAAAACCATTATTATCTCCACCCTCCAAAAAAAAAAAAAAAATGCTTGTAAAATATTCAGATTTCGGCATTAAATAACCAACAAAGAATGATATGTCGCTACACAAAACCAATAAAAGTAGAATGGTGTTAAGACACAAAAAAATACAGATAAGTGTTCGCAGCGTTCTGACTTCAAGAAGAAAACAAAAATATGGCGGATGAGGCCGAGAAATTGGCTGGGAAGAAATCCTAGCTTGCATCTGTATGAGACGTGTATAAATGCGGAGAAGAGGGCGAGCGTTTTCGCAGTCATTCCAACTAGGCTGGAGACAACAAAAACATCAGAGAGGGAATTACATATTTTACGAGGGTAAAAATCAAAAAGTAAATGTAATTTTTATATAGCACCTTTTCACTGATGGAGAACAAATGCATATTTCACTTTATGGCGCTTTTTATCGCGTAATTTCAAAATAACCTTTACTTTATGATTTATCCACGGATATTCATTCTTGCCAAACCAAAAAAAAAAAAATCTTTACAAAAATGCTATGAAGAATATAGCGGATCTTTTAAAAGGATGTATAGATAGAATTTATGTTAGTGTATGAATTGGAATTTGATATTTTGTCATTTTTATCTTAAATTCGGTTATTAGCTTTCGAGAACTCACGAAGGGAAAATTAAATGCTAAATTGGCAACTTTCTCATCGGTTAATACATATGTCCAATTGCTATTTATTAAGGTGTATAACTATAGAAAATTCGTGCGATATTAATAGCAAATGTCATCATATTTGATAGTTGCCCGTGGACTGATATTTAAGGTTACAATATTCGGAAGTATATTAGGCAGTACTTCAATGTTTGTGAAAGTGAAAGGAATCAACTTTTTAACCATCGAATGTACAGAGATGCACGATATTTAAGGACCTTTTCTACATCCAATTCCAGGTCATCTATTATACCTATCTATCCAGATATCTATCAATCTATCCAGATGTCTATCCAGATATCTATCAATCTCTCCAGATATCTATCTATCTATCTATCTATCTATCTATCTATCTATCTATCTATCTATCTAGATAGATAGATAGATAGATAGATAGATGGATAGATATCGAGATATCTATCTTTCCATCTATCATAGCTTTATAACTCTAAATGTAAATGTCAATGAGTACACTTAATTGTTACGTTATTTCTTTTTAAATATTGCACCCATACGCTGTTTCTGTTTGTTATATTTAGTTTACTGGCTCAAAGACATGCATCATTTTCTTTATTTTCTTTGGATTCAGCAAGACGGAACTACACTGCATATTGTGACATGTAGAGATATATTAGGATGAGATATTAACGCATGGGTGGACAAGATTGCGATGAGAAGATATGGCCCACGCTGGTTATACAGAAGGTTGCTAAGGATATCATGGACCGAGCGTGTGAGCAACGATGAGGTCTTAGAAAGGTTGCAAACAAGAAGAACATAAGGAAGAGGCAGCTGAAGTTCCTGGGACACATAATGAGGAAGGTGGGCCTGGAGAATCTGATACTCACGGTCGAATAAAGGGAAAAAGAGACAAGGGAAAACAACGCGTGACATACCTGGCAAACTTAAGCAAGTGGATGACAGAACGTGGTCTGTGAGAGGAAGCAGAGTGAAGGAACTTGTTGTGAGCTGCAAGGGATAGAGGGAGGTGGAGAGCCATGATCGTCTACATCCCGAAAGGACATGGTACATAAAAAAAATGTTTCCTGATCTTATCTGAAAATTTTCGTCTAACTGTAGTGGTTTTAATCTTATTTGATTGTAGCTCCTGTGACAACTATACCGTCGCTAATCATAGCAAACAGCAATTACTTAGTATATATAGTCCGTATGAAGTTGCATAACTAGAATTCGATTTGAGCAATTTTTCAAATGTTAAACGATTAATTTAGACGTCAAAACGAAACTTGAGCTACATTTTGGTAGTTTCAACAAGTTTTATTAAAGTTATTGGATTTATTTGAAGAAATATACAGTATGAAGTTAACATGTAGATTAAACTATTTATATTATTCACTATGACACATGGCACAGTGGATAAAGGTGTCAGTTAGATCCAGTGACAGGAGCCAAAGAGTGTGAGTTCAATACCCGATTAAGGCAGTGGAGAACTTGGAAAGGGGATTTAACGGGAGGTAACTGACAACTGACATCCATTAAAACATGGCGCGTGGAACTAGAACAGTCTACCCCAGTGAGCGAAATAAAGATTTCAGTTCGACATTCCAACCACCTGAAGAAGGCCGAAACGTACAACGGCTGAAACATTGAAATAAATATGGCGACAAAGATGAGGACAATAGTCCGAATAATGTAAATAGTTTACATAATACCTTGTCTCAGAAATATAGACAGATAATATAGATTAAACTCATATTAGTTTAAGGCCTCTAAAATCTAATAAAAAATATTTTTTCGTTTTGTCCATAACATATTTTGAAACATATATCAGGGAAAAGATCTAACAAATATTGAAAAACAGAAAATAATGTTATTGTGTGAGGGAATTTTCACCTTGGAGATATCAAAGAAGCTTCACAAAATCATCCAGCGATAAAGATGGTGGTTAAAATTATAACTAAGTTGAGATCTAGAAACGTAGGAAGAAACTTTAAGAAACTTATCTCTTCGAGAGGGACGTAAACTAGAGGGAATTATAGCGAAACAATCACTTCTTACCAGAGTTCAGATCTTTGAACAAACTGGAATTCAAAAAGACAAGAAAGACAAATGGCGTAGAATACGTCATAAAATCGTATCTATAAAGTCCCCTGGCCAAGTCTTCTGAGTTAAGCAAATATTTTAAAGAATCAAAATTGGGACAAGAAATACATGAAAATTGATTTTCTAAAGTAATTTTCACGGATGGATCTGATGGATGGGCCAAAGAATGGATTTTAGTTGATGGAGATATGCCTGTGGCGCAAAAAGAGGTGGCAATGTTATGATATAAGCTGGAATATTCGACGAAAACATTATTGAACCATTCAAAGTCGATGCCAAAGTTAAACCGAAGAAGGCTTACTATTTCAATCCATGGATAGAACCTTCTTTCATTGGTACAAATTCATGCCTGAGAGATTCAAAATGAGATGCTCCTTCAGATATATCTAAAGTTACCCGTGAATTTTTTGATCGTAAAAGGTTTCCAGGAGAGAAGATAATGGAACGATCTGTCGCGATCTGAATCCTATCGAAAATCTATGGTCAATTGTGAAGATGAAATTATATGAAGCTGGCAAACAAAATGAAACACTATAGAAAGCAATTAAATCTATGTCGGAAAATGAACCTGCCGGAGTAAAAAATGCATAATACGTTGCTGACAATCATTGAGAAGAATTCAAAACCGAAAAGGGTAATTTGGGGAAGTTGTGACACCAGTTCTTTGTAATTGTCTCTCCCCAAAAAGTGTGGTTGGTTCAGCCCAAGCCTTCTCCACAATAATAAAATCATGTCTGGCTGGCTGTTCGGTTCTAAGAAGTAGGTTGCTGTGCCCTCATACATCGAAAAGGAGAGAAAAGCCCAATATATATATTGAAGTCAGTACTTAGTTGATACAGACTGTTTCTTTATATTTACATACGCTCTATCATTGATATTGAGCACTTTATCCCATAAATATAGTTTGTTAAATCTAATATATATATATATATATATATATATATATATATATATATATATATATATATATCGACTAAAATCCATTCTTTAGCACATCCATCAGATCCATATATATATATATATATATATATATATATATATATATATATATATACTTACGTATACAGTAGCGTCCAAAACTAAGGGACAAAATTTTAAAACCTAATATTTGTTAGAAATAACAACTGTGAAAAGCTGAAATTTTGACAACTGGTAGTCGTTATCATCCATAATGACATACTAAAATTTGAATCATTTGCAAAGGATAGAAAAAGAATTATAACAATTATTTATTTATTTTCAAAATAGGATCGTCCAAAAGTAAGGGACAAAATTGAGAAAAACAATGTAAACAGTATGCTATATTCAAATTTTTTGATTTCCTCTAAAGAATAAATCTTACTTAGTCATTTGTAAATGTTGCATCAGCCGGCACCATGTGAGACAAGCTATTGTGAAGCTACACAAGGAAAAGCACACCATTAAAGAGATTTCAGAGAAAGTGAAACGTTCCATGAGTGTTGTAGGCAGGGTTGTTAAATCCTACAATGATACTGGCAAAATAGTTAGTGCTTTTAAAATCGGCAGATCCTGCAAAACTTCGGCAAGAGAAGATCGAATAATGCAGCGTATGTCATTAAAGGGCCGTTTTAAGTCTTGCACAGAAATTAAAAGGGTTATGAATAGTAACTCATGTGTTAATGTGTCAAGACAGACTGTTTGTAGACGACTGCAAGAAATAGGGCTGTTTAATCGAACCCCAGGGAAGAAACCACTTGTTAGTTCAAAGAATAAGAAGAAGAGATTAGAGTTTGCAAACAGGTATGTAAATTGGACATCTGAAAATTGGGCAAAAGTATCTTTCAGTGATGAACTCAAGTTTAATTTATTTGGAAATGATGGAAAAAACAATGTAAAGAGACGTATTGGTGAAAGATTAAGTGCAAAGTGTACTAAGAAAACTGTCAAGTTTGGGGGCGGAAGCGTCATGGTATTTGGAATGTTTTCTAGCCAAGGTACAACGCCTCTTGTCCGGTTACAAACTCGTGTAAAAGCACAGATCTATAAAAACATTGTTCAAGATCATGTTGTGCCAATCATACAGAATTCAGGTTTCGATAGGGCTACCTTTATGCAAGATAATGCCCCA